AGGGTCGGCCCCATACACCCACTACCCCCAGGGTCGGCCATAGACACCCACTACCCCAGGGTCGGCTACAGGCACCCACTACCTTAGGGTCGGCCATAGACACCCACTACCTCAGGGTCGGCCACAGACACCCACTACCCCAGGGTCGGCCACAGACACCCACTACCCCAGGGTCGGCCACAGACACCCACTACCCCCAGGGTCGGCCATAGACACCCACTACCCCAGGGTCGGCCACAGACACCCACTACCCCCAGGGTCGGCCACAGACACCCACTACCCCAGGGTCGGCCACAGACACCCACTACCCCAGGGTCGGCCACAGACACCCACTACCCCAGGGTCGGCCATATCACACACACCCACTACCCCAGGGTCGGCCATAGACACCCACTACCCCAGGGTCGGCCACAGACACCCACTACCCCAGGGTCGGCCACAGACACCCACTACCCCAGGGTCGGCCACAGACACCCACTACCCCAGGGTCGGCCACAGACGCCCACTACCCCAGGGTCGGCCACAGACACCCACTACCCCAGGGTCGGCCACAGACACCCACTACCCCAGGGTCGGCCACAGACACCCACTACCCCAGGGTCGGCCACAGACACCCACTACCCCAGGGTCGGCCACAGACACCCACTACCCCAGGGTCGGCCATATCACAGACACCCACTACCCCAGGGTCGGCCACAGACACCCACTACCCCAGGGTCGGCCATAGACACCCACTACCCCAGGGTCTGTCATATCACAGACACCCACTACACCAGGGTCGGCTACAGACACCTACTACCCCACGGGAGGCACTACACAAACACCCACTACACCGAGGGGCGGGCAGGGTCTGATCTTGTACATTGAAACCCTTGACCTTTAAAGGCAACTTCCGGTCAGCCGGTGGCGATGTAAACCTCACGCGCGTGGGAGAAAAGCGAAAACAAAAATATCAAAAGTATTTTTAGCACTGTGATGAGTTCCTGCGAAAAATAACGTTGTATCCTGTAAAAATGCATTAACTTTCGTAAAAAAAATGTCGTACATAATGACTAAAAAAACTTTATTTTAAATACGAATATATTTTTCTTTAAAGTAAAAATATATATTTCCACAATTATTGTATTGTATATTGCGAAACAAAAAATGGCGTGTTCAAAAACAAAAAAATTATTAAAAATAAAATATTCGATAGCAACCAACTAAAAATGTAATTTGTCCTAATTTGAAGCTGTACGTACAAACTAAAACTCTTCTATCGCCAAATTAATTTAATCGATTCGTCCTCGACAACTCCAACATAGCGTAAAACAACTGTAACATAACGTAACATCACATACACAACTCTAACATCACGTAACATCACATACACAACTCTAACATCACGTAACATCACATACACAACTCTAACATCACATAAACAACTCTAACATCACTTAACATCACATACACAACTCAACTCTAACATCATGTAACATCACATACACACCTCTAACATCATGCAACATCACATACACAGCTCTCATGTAACATCATATACACAACTAACATCATGTAACATCACATACACAACTAACATCATGTAACATCGCATACACAACTAACATCATGTAACATCACATACACAACTCTAACATCTTGTAACATCACGTAACTCAACTCTAACATCCTGTAACATAACTCCAACATCACGAACTCGATGGTTTGGATTCAATAAGCGACGCTATCTTTTATAACAAAAGTTTAAAAATAGAACTCAACCAACTACGACTGTGTTTACAAAACGTGATTGTTGAAAACACCGAAATTTGAGATTTTTTAATTAGCATCGAGATTTAAAAAAAAAATGGTTGAAAAGTAAATTTATGGTGGTCTATATGTAGCGCAGACACGCTGATGAAATATGCCAAAGGTCAAGTTCGAACTAAGTATAGCAACATGAAAAGTGAGGAATTAAATCAAAACTATCTAAACGTTAAGTTGTTTATGATACTACGAAACAAATTACATTTCGAAATTGTCTGGGTATTTTTTAGATGAAGGGTGGGGTAGAGTGGGATTAGGATTAGAATTTATCAAATTACAATTAACAAGGTGTCTAGAGAGATGAGTGGTGTTTGTCTATAAAGTTGGGTATTTTTTGTGTGTTCTTAAATTGTGAGGTCTGCGTGTCTGTTAGAGACTGGCAACAAAGATCTGACGGGTCAGTTTGACTGGCCATTGTTTTAGGTCATTCTGACTCGACATTCTTACAGAACATTCTGACAGGACATTTACAGCTTGTTTAGGACGCCATTTTAAGTACTATAAACGCTAACGTTGCAAATCCCTACAACGCCCCTGACAACGTTCCCGACAACCCTCTGATAAAGCCCCCGACAACGTTCCCGTCAACCCCCTGACAACCCACTGACAACGCCCCCGACAACCCTCTGATAACGCCCCGGACAAACATAACAAGACTTCAGTATTTAAAATCATGAATTAAAACGTACATCCCTGGGTTATGAAAGTTGCTGTAAAACGCTGGGTGACTGGACTTTACCACGGGAAGCTCAGAGGAGCAAAGATGTGTAGCCACACCTCTCCAGAGGCGCAAAGATCTGCAGCCACACCTCTCCAGAGGCGTAAAGATCTGCAGCCACACCTCTCCAGAGGCGTAAAGGTCTGCAGCCACACCTCTCCAGAGGCGCAAAGATCTGCAGCCACACCTCTCCAGAGGAGCAAAGAGCTCTAGCCACACCTCTACAGAGGAGCAAATAGCTCTAGCCACACCTCTCCAGAGGCGCAAAGATCTGAAGCCACACCTCTCCAGAGGCGCAAAGATCTGCAGCCACACCTCTCCAGATGCGCAAAGATCTGCAGCCACACCTCTCCACCGGACTCTGTTTTGGGCAGATCTCTTTAGTTGAGCCCGTGTAAGCTGTTCAGCCCAGGCTTCTCCTTCCACAGTCCATAACCACGGATGCGTAGGCCGTCCAAAGGCTCCAGTCAATGAATGCCTCGCGATGTTGACATCTCTTGGCGTGCCCGATCCCTCCTCATTTATCGGGGTTTAACATCTCTGTCTATCAGTTGTTGTTTTTTTATTTGCCACAGATAGTCATTAGACATTTTATGTTTAAGATTTGTCGTCGGCATCTATTTATGAAGTAAAATCGCTGGACACAGGTCTGTTTTAGTCTTAGTTAATCCTGCAACACATCGACCGGGTTTTCGGTTACAAGATATAAATGATGGAACCGTACGGTTTGAGCCGGTTAGTCGGAGACCGGCTCTACCGGTCCGCTAGGGACACCGGACCCATGACGGATTGTCTAGCGCGGCTGGTACGGAATTAGTTTCACTACTCCTTTAAGTTAGTCGACACCTGGGCATTGCCAGTATTCGAACCCACAACCATCAAATGTGTTGCCCAATTCTCTAGCGCCTATCCACACAAATGGATGCTGACCATCACAACTATAGACAGAAGGATAACGCAATCACAAGGAAACTCTTTCATTCTGTGAGATCTTTAATAAAGTAAAAAAAAAGTTCTGCGATGCATCCGGTAACAAAATAATAAGTAACCCAATGCCCCAGGTAATCAAATACAAGAAGTAATCGAATATATTAAAGAATCGAAAACATGAAGTAATCCAACCCACGACTACTATTGGATTGCTGAGGCCTTAGGCGAGTCTGAAAGCGGTGTGTGGGAGTGTGAAGGAGTACGGGGGGGGGGGGGGGGGGTGAACTTTTTAGAGACAGACCTGATCAGTTAAAATTGTGATGTAATCATGACGTGTTGTGGGCGGTGTGATAAAGCGAATCTCGGTACAAATACAGATTGAAATGACGTCACCCCAGTTAATGGCCATAGTAAAAATTACTGCAGTATTCTCTTTTGTTGGAAATTACTGCATTATTCTCTTTTGTTGGAAATTATATAATTACAAACTTTAAAAAAAAAAATTATTTATTGAGTCTTTTCCATTTAAGCCCCGCCACTAATGCAAAAACTGCACGCGCACAAAGTTAAGCCCTGCCACTTTTTGCAAGCTCCAATTTAATGCACGCACGCAACCTTGAGTATTAGGGTCAAAGGTACCTATATATAGACCTTTTCATACAAATTATCATTGACCTATCCCGATTTCACCCTCTTAAAAAAAAAAAAAACTAAAATTACACGTTTCATATCCTCTTTTTAATAATCTTTTTTTGGTTAACTTTTTGGCGATTCTTATCTGGACAAGATCCTATTTATTTTTTTCTAATTAGGTTTATTTATTTCATGTCAAGAAATGAGTATTTTAGCTCACCATTTTGGTTTGGAGTCAAAGCGGAAGACTAACCATCGTCACTTATTCGCTACACAACGTGGCACTTTCTAGTTTCCCTCGTGTACATAGACGATGCTAACAGGTTTTTTTTAAAAAAATGTACGATTAAAATATTCAAAGTTTTACGTTAAGCATCGTTGTTTTTACTTTCTCGTATATACGAAGTATAGAGAAAGTCTTGTAATCGTGCAAAAATTCGAGATTTTTGCAAATCTCGACGTTTTACAGCTCCCTGAGTCGCAAAAACATAGTTTTGCAATCTTGTTTAAAACGTCACAGGATCAATGACGCAGAATGACGCTTCTCCAAACAGCTAAGGGCCGTTATTTTTGTTGATCGTCTGTTTCCAACTGCATGTCCAAATTAAGCGTGTATGGAATAGACGTACACTCCTAACACGCAATTACGACAAGAAGTCATCCATAAATGACGTCGCATAGTGTAGCTGAAATATTTTACAAAGTGTGTTTCTTCACCTTATTATCCACCCCCCCCCCCCTAAAAGTGTAGCCTACATCTTTATCATAAGTAAGAAACCCGCCCCTCTCACAATCACAAGAGCGCCACGTCACCGAAAGTAAAGCGCGGACGCAATTTACAAACATCAATAAAACTCAACACTCAAATGCAAACAATAACACAACACCAAAAATTACAATAAGCAATGATTACCTTCAAACTTGCTTGCGTGAATTTTACGTCACTCTAAAGAATTTGTTTCTCTTTTCCTAAATTGCTGACACTAGCTTATGAACACTATCACAGAACTTCCCCCCTTTTTATCTAGCCGTGGAAATAAACCGTCTAATTATTTTACCTAGCCGATTAGAGAGTATCACCAAGCTTCCAAGTCGCGCGCGAGCTACGTAACTTTGCTGTCTACGTCACAGGTCACCCACGCTTCTAAACAACTCGCGCGCTTCGTGTCGTCGGTTGACGCTGGCTTTCTGGCTCTGTATTCAACAACTAGACAACCCACCCGACACCCACAAACGGCGGATGAATACATTATTGATAAACTGACGTTTCCAATAAGGCGGAGAGGACGAAGGACCGTCTCTTCCGGTTATGGCCCGTGCGAGTTGCCGTGTTGATAGCGAGGATCCGGCGTTGGTGATGGGAAGTTTTATCAGGGGAGACGACGCCGAAAAATTGAAGGGGGATAACCGTTCTTTCACATTCAGGCGGGAGTAACTCTTCGTCGCAGTAGTATTTACACTGCAGGAAATGGGGTGACAAATGAAGTGACAGTGACTCCAGAATTCCTCAACTGACTGCAGTGACTAGAGCTCTTGAACGACGGTGACTCTGGCGGAATCTATATATACGAGCCGACCCGCGGCATATCATACGCCGCTATTTAGTTGTTTTTTTTCTACTTTTCAGTAATTCATAATTTGTGAATTCGACAGTACCAATGCTGCCACTGAAAATATTTGCTTAAAAACACTACCCCCCCCCCCCCCACCCCACGTGAAAGCAGCCTCCTCTTAGTTACCACCTCTAAGTTTAAAATCGTTTCAAGCTAAATTATCTGCCCCTAATAGCCGTCACCAAACCCGTCTCTATGATTGTAAAATGTAAACAGCGTGACCACAGCTCACCAGACAATGTGGGGGTGGGGTGGTAGTGATAGTGATAGAGAGAAAGAGAGGGGACTGCAAGGAGGCGCTTGCAGCTTGTTTTCTAACGGCTCCCAGAAGAGAATTATATATATAGATAATTCTCTTCTTGGAGACGTTAGAAAACACCAAGCTGTAAGCGCACTCCCTACCACCCCATCCCTACATGGTCTGGTGAGCCGTGGTTCACGCTAAATGTTTACAATCGTAGAGCCGGGTTTAGTGACGGCTATTAGGAGCAGATAATGTAGTTTGAAACGATTTTAAACTAAGGGGAGGTAACTAAGAGAAGCTTGGTTTCACGGGGGGGGGGGGGGAGGAGGGGGGGGAGGTTATCGTCCTTAATGAGCTACTGATAGTGTTTTAAAGCAAATATTTTCAGTGGCAGCATTGGTACTGTCGAATTCACAAATTATGAATTACTGAAAAGTAGAAAATAAAAGCAACTAAATAGCAGCGTATGATACGCCGCGGGTCGGCTCTTGATTTAAAATTCACCTAGGGGTTGTTCCCTGTCGCCGTCCCAAAATATTTCAACATGTTTACCACCCCATCCGCGTTACCGATATGCTTGACAATTTAATTTGAAATCGTTAAGTACCACATCCTAAAAAATCCCATGAATCATCATTTAATTACACATTTGCATTCTCAGGTGTTTTTTTTTTTAAAAAAATTGTAATTGGACGTTTTGTATTAGATCTTTGTATAAGTAAACCACCTTAAATGAATGAAAGTAGGCTACTTGTAAGAAAGAAATATTACTATTGTAAATCTGTATCAGTCCTCACAAGCCGATGATGAAAACTGTGGTTCAACAGCCCACATAGAAGAGAAAACTCCAACATCAAACAACTTCTGCCTTGTAGTTTATTCTTGGGTGGACATAGGCTATGGAAGCAAATCCAAAAAGAAAAGCGGGCTGAAGTGAAAGTCAACGGGCAATATGGCTGGCGCATAATATACCTTTGACACGTAAAAGCATTATTGTGTTGGATAAAAATCCCGTCTATTATAAGAACGAAGAAGAAGCACATTTTTTCCTTCCAGCAAACACTGTTTTAGCTGTAGCTGTAAATTTGTGAAAAAAGTTGGCATGTGAAGTGTGCACGGTAGGGTTTAGCGATCAAATCCCGGGTTTAAATAATTTTTTTTAATACAGCCAATATGAATGAGACATGAGATTAACTGTACAAACGTGCATGCCCTCGAGATGGGTGGGTCGTCAATAAATGACGTCACACCTCCAGTGGGGTCAGTGTTTCTTCCAGACTTTTTTCTCCGGGGGGGGGGGGGGGGCACTTGAAATTTTCGGAGGGGGAGGGGGGGCGGACACTAGTAAAAGTGTATGTTTACTATATAAAATCCATCTCGTTCGGGGGGGGGGGGGGGTTAGACTTTCTTCGGGGGTGGGGGGCAAATATTAATTGGCAAAAGACCGAATCGATAAAAGGCCAATTGACAATAAAAACTGATTGACAGAAGGCCGATTGACAGAAGGCCGACTGACAGAAGGCCGACCGACTAAATGATTTTGGTCACTGACAGCCAATAGCCATAAGCGACTGATAAAAGGGCGTTTGGCAAAAGGCCGACTGGCAAAGGGCTGACTGGAAAAAAAGTCGACTGGCAAAAGGGCCAGAAGATATATCTACTAAAAACACAGCCAAAAGATCGGCCGAATGGCTTGGTGAATGACCTACGGACCCGACTGACAACAAATGACCTACGGACAAATGCCCGACTGACAAACAAATGACTTACGGACTATTGCCAGACTGACAACAAATGACCTACACACATATGACCTACTGACAAATAACCTACTGGCAAAAGTGCACCAAGCAACAAGTTGGCTAAACGAAGAGAACCTGGCACTGCCAATCAGAACTAAATCCCAACCTACCGTTAATAAGCCGTCAGGCTGTGGTTTGGCCAACGAGTTAAACCAAGCAAAGAGTCCATGAAAAATCTAAGTCCCCGGACGCCAAACTCCCTCGCTACGCCCCAGCTTGTATACAATGACGTAATTAAAGCAAAAAAAATGTCCACATTGTGTGTGGGATTGTTGATTTAAAAAATAATTAGGTTCCTTTTTAATTAGATGATACTTAAATAATAAAAAAAAACAAGAGATTAATTTCATGTTTGTAAGAACACGTCAAATAAGCTTACAACTAAAAATGGTATGTTCTTCAAAACTTTTTTTTTTTTAAATTCGGATCTTATTACAAAATTTATCCCTCTGTCAAATTAATAAATAATGGAAAGCAAAGTTAAAATAATAATTTTTTTTTTTAAATGTGCAGTTATTTTCGGCCTTACAAGGACTTTGCAATTACATCAACGCATTTTCATTGCTTTAAGCAAGGTCGGATTTTGGGCACCTTAAACGCGCCCTCCCCCCTAATTTGAATTGCGGGGTCTGTCGGTATGGTAGATCTGGATGTTGTGGATTGACTCAACAGTATTGAGTCATTTTAGAAAAGTATGACGTCATAAAGTGAGTCATTACCACGGAGTCTAGGCCCGGCCTCAAAGTGTGACGTCAAAAAGTGCGTCACCTACATTAAATCATTAAAGTGTTAGACGACCACAAGACAATGCTGTGGAATGAATGGCGTGCATAAGTCTGCGGCCCATCTGTTATAAACACGGCTCCGATACCGGCTCTGATTATGGCTCTAATACCGGCTGCGATAGCGCTTGTCATACCAACTTGGATACCGGCTCTCATAACGGCTCCAATACCGGCTCCCATACCGGCTCTGATTATGGCTCTAATACCGGCTGCGATACCGCTCGTCATACCAACTTGGATACTGGCTCCCAAACCCGTTCATCCTCAGCTCAATAGCCGTCTCGTTTCCAACAAATGATGGCCGCCGGCTATTTGAACGGATTGGTAACTAGTGGCGTCCCCGTTCTATTGTCCCGTGTCGCAGTGTGTACACACCGCACTGTAATCTCAGTACCCCAGTGTCTGTTAGAGGCAGGGAAAAGTATGGTGTACCCAGAAGTCATTTTATGTTTATAATTAAAAAAAAAAATAAATGTTGTATATTAATCTCCAGTTCTAGCTGTCGAGATAATAGAGTTGTAAAAGACTTTTTATTCAGTGTTGGGAGATATTAGGTTTTAATGTGTTTTTTGTGGGTGGTTGAAGGTGAATTTAAATACATGCTTGAAACTCAAAAAAGAGAGGTTTTGAGGACACCGAAGTTAAAAAAAAAACACCACCGAGAATAAATATTTAAATATATCACACACATACACACACCATATATATATATATATATATATATATATATATATATATATATATATATATATATATATATATATATATATATATATATATATACATATGTGTGTGTGTGTTCAAATAAGTATATATGGCCTATTCCTTCAATACTAAGTAACAATAGAAAAACGTGTGCATGAATAGAGTCTAGAGAACTAAATCCAGGAGAAGCTATTAGACCTATTAGTGAAACAACATTGATTTTTCTCCTGATGGACTATCACCTCCCTCCCATCCCCCCTATTCCTCTTTTCATCTTGGTTCCGATTGGCTGACCAGCCGAATGATGACAGGAAAATCAGCCAGGCATGACGCTGGTCCCGTTGATTGCTGGTTTACAAATATCTCACGTCAAGGGCAGATCACACTAATTGTGTAAATCGATGACAGCACAAACGAGTCGTGTCCCCTTGGTGGGTTAATTGAATGCACGCCAAATTCTGCGCTTTAGCTAAATATACTACATAATCTAACAGTGAAAGCGTGTCATATACGGGGCGTGCGGTGGTTGTCCAGAAGTGACGTCAATTATTAATTTTATTTGCCCCCCCCCCACCCCTTACTCAATGTAATGATACAATACTTAATACAGTTGTTTTTTATTTTGTGTTCAAGACATGTATACTATCTCAGTTTTCTGCCCCCCCCCCCCCTCCCAGACCCTTACATAATACGTCACAAGCCTCTGAACTATCTCAACCTGCATGACATCATTTATAAACAACCCACAAACTATTCAAATTTTACAACCACAAATTGATCATACAGTGGTCGATTTTGAACGGACTTCTAATAAAACTAAATCCTTCCCTTTTGCGTCTAAATTATAAAACAAACAAACAACAACAACAAAGTACTTACTAAACTAATAACAGTAATCTGTACATTTAAATTAAAGTGTTTCTAAGGCATATTTTAGTATACATAGCTTACAAACTTAATACATAAACAGTGTTTCTTTTAGACTTTTTTCCCCCTGGGGGGGGGGGCACTTGATATTTTCGGGTGGGGGCGGACTAAATTTTCCTGGGGGAAGGGGGGG